AGGAATGCTTAGTGTAAGAGGAGAACATAGACATTGTGGGCATTTCAGAAACTTGGTGGGATGAGGATAATCAGTGGGATACAGTGATTCCTGGGTATAAATTATATTGAATGGAAAGGGAGGGAAGGGTCAGAGGTGGAGTGGCTCTGTGTCATAGAGGGGATACAGTAAAACTGAGAATGTAAGAGAAATAGATTTGCTTACAGAAACGCTATGGGTGGAATAGTGGAAAAGAAAGCTTAATTTCTTATCACCCCCCAGATCAAAGGTTAGAGGATGATTTAAAAACAGCAAAAGAATTAAGAAAAGCAGCTAGATGAAATAACTGTGTCATAATAGTTGATTTTATAGTTGGTCAGTATGTGTTAAAGTCAAGAGAAAGATATTGGGTTTCTAGATACTCTCAATGAGTGTGCTGTGGAGGGTCACAGAACCTACCAGGGGGAGGCAATCCTGGACTTGGTCCTTAGTAATGCTCAAGACCTAGTGAGAGATGTAAATGTGATAGCACCAGTTGGGAACAGTGACCATAAAGTGACACTGAGTGTTGGACTGGATAGGCCATTGGTCTGATCTAACATGGCTTCTCTTATGTTCTTAAGACTAGGGCTGCAAGAGGCAGGAGTGCTTAATTTTGCATGGTGTATTAAAACAGCAAGGTAGGAGTCCTGTTAGAAGTTATGCTTGTGTTAATCTTAAGAATATTCTTAAAGAATCAGAATGTTGAAATAAAAAAACTTATAAAGGAGATATTACGTTTTCTTTTTCATATTCTATATTTTTATAGAATTGTGTAAGCCAATTAACAGTAAATTTTATGGGTACAGAGAAGATTGAAGGTATTTCAGTTATTTCAGATGATAGGTTGTTGAATGTGATGTCAGAACTACCATCTTCAGAGATTCTTCAAATACCAGTGGTTCTAGGTGGTGGTCTGGTGCTTTGCTAATTGAGCCATCAGAGCTCCCTTACAGACCACCCATAAACTGTCACATTCCACCTCTCTTTCCATATAAGTTTCCATTCCTGCCTGCAGTCAGCTCTTTGCAACAATGAACACCTTGTGTATTGTTGTCAGAATCCAGTGCATGGCCAGAGCTTAAGCCCTGTATCTTGTTAATCAGAAAGAATTTTCACTGCTGCATTAGACAACGGGAAAAATTGGTTGTGTAAGAAACACTCTCGGTGCACAGAGGAACCAATCTGGAAGCCCTCTGACCTTGAAGGACTTTTCAGAAGCACAGTGCAAAGCAGGGGTCATTTCGTAGAAAAAGAGGTAAGGGGACTCATTAGCATAACTCATTAGCATATGCCACACCCCCTGACATCACCGGAAGTGTGTCATAAGGCCACGCCCCCTGACATCACTGGGGTTCCCATTCCTAAGGTGGAGGCAGGGGATTGCCCCCTTTCATGGGCTCCTGCCTGCCACCTGCCAGCTGGCTGGCAAGAGGAAAATCTCCCCACCCCCAAAACTGCACAATGCACTGACGTCACCCAGAAGTGACATCAGTGTGTCTGAGATGTCAGGAGGTGGCGTACTTTTTGGGCAACACTCTATGGTTTGAGGCCATTTTTACCATAGAGTTTGCCCCAAAAGCAGAGCATTGCACCCCGTCATGGACACACTGATGTCACTTCTGGGTGACATCAGTGCATCACGTGACCCCCCCCGCCCACTCCTGGAATGCCCCCCAAATACCCCCACCAGCACAACAAGGGGACCTGGCAACCCTACATTCTACCATTTAATTGGAGAAGGTCCTTCAAAAGAACCCAGCAGATCTTTAGTGTTGGTTTTAAAATATTTTTTACTTTCCTCTTTTCTACCAAAGGTCTACAAACAATGCAGTGAATTAAAGTCACTGCCCAGTATATGAGAAGACTTTCTGGTCCAGCCTCTTTCACCCTCTTTCTCTGCATTGGCAATGCTCGTTTGGGAATGGCTTCCCCAGCTCCAAAGGAGCAGCTGGCTAGCCCCTGCAGGCAGACCAGGCAGAGACCGCAGGACAAGGCTGGAAGGATCCAGCCAAGTGAGTCGAGCTGCCACTTCCAGATTGTTGTTTTTTAAAAGTGGGGAAAGGCAGGGAGAGCTGAGAGCGGAGGGCAGACCTGGCCAAGTTTCTCCAGGCTGAGGTGTGGGTGTGTTTTTTTAAAAGGTGGGGAAGCTGGGGAGGGCGGACGGAGGAAGCGAGCGCCTTCAAAGAAATGCTAAAAACTGACTTAAAAAAAATCATTTCAGGCAGAAAAGCATGTGGGGATTTGCATCTAAGTAAGGAGGCT